AGTGTTCGAAACTACTCCAGTGAGCTGCATGATGACGTTTCAACTTCCGCTGATTTCCTACAAGCTCGTACTTTCATTGCACAGTTGACTTTTTTAAAACCAATATGAGATGCGATTACTTAATTAATTCCCCAGACCTTGATTTTACTCTTTCAGATACAGTGACATTCATATGGATAAATGAATGTCTCACATGGAAAACATCCACTTTTTCAATTCTCAGCGCTGCCAGGTGTTTTCTAATTGGTTTAGCCAAACCTCTCGTGATTTTTCCAGTATGGTTATATAGGTGGTTTCACGATCTTTGCACCGCGTCTTGAATAGGACGTTACTTTCTTAGTATTTTTCAGACTTTCTGAGCTTTTAATAAATCAGCGATTCCGTTGTACTGTCTGATTTACACATCTATTTACTACCAAACTTATCGAAAGTTTGGAAAGCATGAGATGGTTGCAGTATCATTTGTATTAGGGAATTCTTTAATATGTAATTCTGAGTTTAATAATGACCGTTTTTAGTGCTTTTACTGTGTCTGTCTTTGCTAAGGCAACTTAGAAAATTCTGAACTTCATTGTTGTTTGCAGATTAATTTTACGGTATCTGTTACGTGTTGTGAGTCTCTCACGTCTGATTGATTAATATTGTGAAAGGGCTTTTCATTGTCTGTCATTGACACATCCGAGACCTTTATTTGTCACGCCATCGTGTCTATCAAATAAATCGATGATAAATAATCGACGCGTAATAGATTTTTTTTAGTATGACAGTTGTATTATATTTTAATTTATTGGTAAACAAACATTTTGACTGAATGAACATCAGCTATAATTTGAGTGTTAAAGCAGTTAAAATGAAACGATGTAAACCCTGCTGATGCTTGATTTGACTCGCTGAAGGTTATTGATCTCGCTTTATGCGGTAGTTTATTGACTTTGACGCCTCAGATATGCCACAGAGGATAATGTATGTTGCTTCGCACTGTCGCCAACCGAAATCGAACCTGCCATGAAACCAAGCACCATTTGGCCTTACTCTCCTATATGCATATTTTTTAGTATCCTATGAGGTATGTTCATTTCTGTTTATCCCATTGCATGGTGATGGTGCTATTATAAATTTCAGAAAATGGTGGAGCATTAGTAGCCCTAATATGGTAGTCATTCAACTTTATCACTTATGTACAGATTTATACGATGTGTATTTGGGTTTTGTTCTCCGGTTCGTTTTGCTCACGCAAGTATCAGATTCAGTATTGTTATGTATTTTTGTAACTTCGTCTAATTTTCGTATTAATTGTGGCTTTTTAGTTGTATTGATTGTTTTATCGTAAACTGATCTTTTAGCTATGTAATCGAGTTTGTCGCTATGAAAGATGCCGACGTTGGTGCAAAGATCGTTTCAAATTTACAAGGTCGGTAAAATTATCATATCTTTTTGTTGGCAATCATTTTTTAAGCTTGCTGTGAAATCGTTAATTCAGTTCCACCGTTGCCAAATTATGACGCTTCGCAGCTACAGGCACGTGTGCAAAAATGTGCGGCTTGCTTAGCGGAAATTCATTTGGATACGTAAGTTGCTTATAGTTTAAAGTTACCTTATCTGTTTGAGATTCGACCACACTGAGTCACGGAATCTTAAAGTGGTTGTCAAATCTTAAGCTTCGCAGAATGAATGTCAAGAGTTATTATGGACAAGAATAAGTAGACAAATGGTAGTACACCGAAAATAACTTTTTATTTAACACTAAGTCTTCAGTATC